TGCTCGGGGTCTGAGACGTGGCCCCTGCACTCTGAAAAGAGGCTCACGCATTTGTGTATATATATATATATACACAGTGTGTGCGTGTGTATGTGTGTGTGTGTGTTTGTGTGTATGTGTGTCAACGTGGGCCCCAAATAGTACGCGTTTGCAATGTGGATGTGCGAGCTGCGTGGCACAGGGTATGTGGTGCAAGCTCTGCGGTGTAATCCACGTGGTATAAGCTATGCGGTACAACTGTGTGGTGCCCGCTATCTGGTCTAATCCATCTGGTAAAAATTGTACGGTGCAAGCTACGAGGTGTGTACCCTGAGTGGTGTAGGCTGCGCGGCACAAGCTGTGCGGTGCAAGCTGTGTGGTGCAAGCTGTGTGGTGCAAGCTGTGTGGTCTGGGCTGTGTGGTGCAGGTTGCGAAAGTGCCAGCTGTGTGGTACAAGCTACGTGCCGCAATCTGTGCCGCCAGCGAGCTGCCCACGGGCGGCGACGAGTGGGCACCAGGCGAAGCCTCGGCACGCCCCGCCACCGCACGAGGCGCCCACGAGGCGCCCACGGGGTGGGCACAGAGCGAAACCCCACGAGGCGCCCACGGGCGGGCACGCGGCGAAACCTCGGCACACCAGCCCCTATCGCACGAGGCGACCACGATGCAACTTGCGCACACCCGCCCAGTGCTCGAGGCGCCCACGAGCGCCCACGGGCAGGCACCGACGGAATGTTCGGCACACCCACGAAACAAGAGGCGCCCACCCAAAAAGGGACGCCCACCGACTGGGCACCAACCATGAGCCTGGCACACCAGACCAATTACCGCTAGTGGATAGAATATGTTATGCATGTCGTTATTCTTGATACGTACATATATATATATACATACATACATGCGTGCATGCATGCATACGAACATGCGTACGTGTGGGCGTACGTACAGCATACATACACACATACGTACATACATGCATGCACGCACCCAATCATCCATACTTACGTCCATGCATGCATACCAGCGTACATACATGCATACATGCAGACATACATCCATACAAACATACATACATGCATACACACATACTTGCATACATGTATTATGCATCTATCTATGCACGCACATGCATACACACACGAAAACGTACATCATACATCCTCACATACATGCATACATACATACATACATACATACATACATACATACACACATAGATATATACATACATACATTACACACATACATACATACATACATACATACATACACACATACACATACATACATGCATGCATGCATGCATACATACATACTTCAATACATAGAACATGCATGCGTGCACACATTCATTCATACATACGTACAACCATGCATGTATTTAGTAATAAAGCATGTGTGCATGCATACCTACCTACCTACCTGCATACATACATGCATTCTTACACACAAGCATTCATATATTTGTGCATACATGCATCCATACAAAACATACAACCATACACACATACATCTGTATACAATAGAACCATCGCGCGCGGTTCGCGTGCGCTCAAGTTCTAGCTAGGCTTGATGGACGAACGCCTGGAGCAACATCCACGTCGTTTCTTGCATCCAGGGACTCTCTTGGAGGCTCTGCGCAAGCCTCGGAATCGCATAAAAGGGGAACTGCAGAAACGAAAACATTCATTGCCGTTCGGTATTCAACGATTTGGGGCCCTCGAAGGCTTCCTGGGTCCTTTTCTGGGGCTAGACGTTTTCTGCATGCAGGCCACGGTCTGTTGGGATGCCTCTCGGGGTCTTCGGGCAAACATAAGCAGGCAGTGAGTTTGGAAAACATGATTTCGAAACATTCCACTGCTTCAACTCATGGGATCATGGGATCTCGATTTCTACAATGGTTTCAGGGGCAGCCAAGAGGACACGAAGACGATCCAAGAGAGTGCCAAGACAGCGTCAGAGGGGGTTCAACAGCATTCCCGAAACATTTTTGCATGTGACCCCGAAGTCTTGATGGGGCTCGAGGAAGAAGATGAGGTAATTAGGGAGTGGGAGTCCCAACTTCAAAAACATGTAATCTCTGGAATTCCTTTTTTCTTCAAATTCCTCAGTCTTGGAGCGTTGGAAGCCGGAAAACGTGAGAAGGCGTAAAACGTCGCGATAAACTACTGGAAAGCAGCGATTTTACCCTCTTCGGGCTCTCTCGGGACGGCTCTCGAAGCTCTCTTGGGCTGTTTTGTGGGCCTCGTCGGGGATTTGTTGGGAGCCTCTCAAGGGTCTGGCGTGTGTTGGAGGCCTCTGGGGGGTCCCAAAGTCCTCTCAGAGGTCTCCGGAGGCCTCCTGCTCGCGCTCTTGGGCTCCTCTTGGGCCCGTTCTGGGGTGGTCTGGAGCTGTCCTGGGCGCCTCTTCGGCAATCTTGGGGCCGCCTTGACCCGTCTTGGGGCCGTCTCGGGGGCCTCTTCCCATGGGTGGTCCTGGGAGCCATTTCGGCTTGTTTGGAGCGTTGGAAGCATGAAATGATGAGAAGGCAATACGCCGGCCCAACGGGCCAGAAGCGTGCTAAGATCTCCGGTAATTACTTAACAATATTTCTAGTTCGCGCGCTTGGGGCGGCCCCTGGGGGGCCCCGGACGAAAAGTACCCCGGCCGATCCCCGGCTGACCCCCGGGAGATCCCCAGGGGGGAGGCTATTTTTCGCCACCCCTCACGAGGATCGCGGCCTCCGAGGCGGGGGCTGCCAGCGACTACCCCCCCCCGCCCCAAGGGGCTCCCAAGAGCGCCCCAAGAGGCCCCAGGGGAGCTCAATACGCCGCCAAGGAGCCCCAAGACGCTCCCAAGAAGCCCCCAAGACGGTCCCAAGGGGGCCCAAATAGCGCTCCAGGGCCGGCGGAATGAGCGAAGCGATTAATAAACCTGAGCAGAATGAATGAAACTTAACGATTTTAGGTTCTTCGGGCGCTGTCGGGAGGCCTCTCGGAGCTCTCTTGAGGTCTCTTGGAGGCCTCCTGGGAGCCTGGAGACCCGCCCGAAAGCTAGGAGCGCCTTGGGCCTTTCTTTGGCGTTCTGGGGGCTTCTTGGGGTCGTCTTGGGCTGTCCTTGGGCGTTTAGTTTTGGGGGCTCCCCGGGAGGTCGGGAAGCGCGGTACCGCGAGCGTTCCGCAGATGTTCCGGGAAGGTGTGGGACCCCCGGGAGGAGGGGGCGCACATTGATTGAATTTGAAAAAAAGGGAAGCTTTGAAATTTATGTTCTTTTGAATTCCTCGGTCTTGGAGCGTTGGAAGCCGGAAAACATGAGAAGGCGGACTAAGTCAACACAAATCAATGCAGATGGACGTTTTTACCATCTTTGGGCTCTCTCGGGCCGGCTCTCGAAGCTCTCTTGGGCTGTTTGGGGGGCCTCGCCGGCGCTTTTTTGGGGGTCTCTCAAGGGTCTGCGGTGTGTTGGAGGCCTCTGGGGGGTCCCGGAGTCCTCTCGGAGATCTCTGGCGGCCTTCTGCTCCCGCTCTTGGGCTCATCTTGGGCCTCCTCTCCGCCCGAAGGCTATCCTGGGTTGCTTGGAAGCGTCTTGGGCCTTTCTTTGACGTTCTAGGGGCTTCTTGGGGTCGTCTTGGGCTGTCCTTGGGCATTTGGGGAGCTCCCCGGGAGGCCGGGAAGCGCGGTGCCGGGAGCGTACACCAGATGTGAGCGAGCGAGGTGGAGGACGCCCCGAGAGGGGGCCTGGCCTATATATATATATATATATATATATATATATATATATGTATATATACATATCTACACATGATTTGGAAGTGAAGGGGGGAGATCGCAATGAAACTGACCCCCCCCACCGGGAACTCGGTTTCGGTTTCGTGTTCGTCTCCCGCCTGCGGGCGAGGCGAAGCTGCGTGGGCCGGCGAGAGGAATGAACCCTCCTCTGGCTAGAGTCTAGAGCCCGCCAGGCCAAAAGCCCGCCCATGCCTCCCCTGTTGGCCGGCGGTTGCCGGGGGTGTCCCGCTGTGGTGTCCCGTCGGTGTCTCGTCGGTGTCCCGTAGTGGGATCGATAGTGAGATCGATAGTGAGACCGATAGTGGGATCGATAGTGAGATCGATAGTTGGGTCGATAGCGAAATAGAAGTGAAATCTATCGTGACAACGATCGTGAGATCGATAGAGAGAGGTCAATACTCAGATCCATCACGATATCGACTGTTAGATCGATAGTGACATCGATCGTGAGATCGATTGTGGTAGGAGTAGTGAACTCGACTGTGAGATTGATAGTGAGATCGATTGTGAGATCGATAAGGGGATCGATAGTGAGATCAATCGAGCGAGATCGATTGTGATATCGATAACGATGTCCCGTCGGTGTCCCGCCGTCGGTGTCCAGGCGGCCCGTCGGTGTCCCGCCGTCGGTGTCCCGTCGGTGTCCCTTACTGAGACCGATAATTCGTGAGATCGATCGTGTAATCAATTGAGTGAGACGCTGGTTCCTCCCTCCCCCCGAACCTCATCTCGCCCGAAGGGTGGCCGTATTGGTGTATATGTGTGTGTGAGAGAGGAGCAAAAAAGAAGGACAAAGAGGGAGAACGAGAGAGACAAAGAGAGAGAGAGTGAGATAGACAGAGAGAGAGAGAGAGAGCTAGGTCACCGATCTTCGCACTCCGCACCCCGCAATGTGCGGCTATCTTCGTGCCTTTGCGCCGCCGACCTGGAGAACGGCGCCTCTCTGGCCCAGGCTGCCACGCGCGAAACACGATTATATTCGCATCTCGCAGGCGACCCAGAAATACAGACTTGTGCGTGCGCGTCCCAGCAGCAACTTGCTGCAACATTACGTATCACTCTCTCGCTGCCTGTCCTGGAGCTCATTCCGCCTGCCTTGCCCCCTCTCCTTCCCCCGCTCATCCCTCCGAGGAGGAGTGGTGCGAGGCGCTTGCAAGTGTCCAGCGCCTGGGGAACCGATGTCCCAGGACCCCAGGAGGCGGCGAATCCATAGCAACCTCCTACCATCGGATCAGCACCTTCTGAGCGCAAGGCCAGTCGATCTGCTCCCGCCTCATGCTGCCCGTAACCTCGGCCTGCACGGAGGAGGAGCAGTACCGCCGCGGCGACTCAAAGAACATGGTGCTAGAGCCATTTCGCAAGTCGCTGTCGGCCTCAGGTCTGGGTGCGCCAGAGTGAGGGGCCAGGAAGACATGGGTTGATGAAGGGGCCCAGGGACACACAAACAAATACATACAAATCCCAGGATTCCCCATACATTTTCATATTTTGTGGATTCTCGTCCTCCCCCCCACTTCCCATATTTTCGCATATTTCCTTGGGAATTGACGATTCACTGTGTCTGTGTGTGCTTTTTCCCTCCGGAGCTAACGTATCCAGGCCCGAGGCACGTGCGCGGACGAGGGGGGGGGGCCAGGGGCTAGATTGAAAGAACAACTGGGGGCCGTCAAGTCCAGCAGTGAGCTTGTCCTCGACCCACGCTCCGACGCCTCCCGATGCTGATTAGGAGGACGGCAGCTGTACAGCCTTGATCACCAGACAGAATTTCGAGCACCCAAAAAATATCGGAATCGAGGATTTTCACGTGTCGGGCCCTGGGAGGCACTCGCCCGACACTGCTTCGACACTCTTTCGACACTTTTCGGGGTGCTCGACATTATTTCTTGGATGTGGTCCTTAAGTACGATGGGAACAGCATAACTGAAGGGAAACTGGGACACACAAATAAATACACACAAATAAAAAGATTCCCCATATTTTCCCATATTTTCTGGGTTTTTGTCTTCCCCCCCACTTCCCATATTTTCCCATATTTTCTGGGAATCGACGATTAATTGTGTCTGTGTGTTTTCTCCCCTCCTGAAACTTTACACCCGCATCGATCCTGGCCGAGCTCGGTGTGGGTGTATGACTTGTGCCATCCGGCGGGGGCCACTCTCGGCCCTTCTGGCCCTCGCATGCGCGAGGGAGGTCCCGGGGGCGTCCCGACTCAGCTTTTGGCTGGCCCCGAGGCACGGGACGGATCCAGGGACACCGAACACCGACAGGCACCTCAGCGCAGACCCCTCCCCTTACGGCGGCGATGAAAAAGCTCGAGAGCTCCTCCTCCTCCTCCTCCTCCTCCTCCTCCTCCTCCTCCTCCTCCTCCTCCTCCTCCTCCTCGGGTCGTGCCGGAGAGATGCAACCGTGGTGCTGCCATGAGGAGCGCCGAGTGAGGAGCGGAGAGGCTGTCCTGGGGACGGTGAGCCTTGGCCACGGATGGGCCCCACGACCATCATCGACGGAGTGGCTTGAAAACCTAATAATGAAGGGGCCCCAGGACACACATATTAAATACACACAAATAAACAGATTCCCCATATTTTCCAATATTTTCTAGGTTTTTGTCTTCCCCCCCACTTCCCATATTTTCCTGTATTTTGTGGGACATCGACGATTCATTGTGTCTGTGTGTTTCTTTTCCTCCTGAAATAAGACCCCCTCAACCTAAACATTTAATCGTGCTGCGTCGCCGATGCACCGGCGGCACGTCGGCGGTGCGGCGCGATCCTCTGATCCCCACCCACATGTGGCCCCCTTTTTTTCGGAAGTTCGGAGCAACGGTCCGCAGCGAGGCGGGGATCCTTCATCTCCAGGCAGGGCACTGGATCAGATGAACTTGCCTCCGCGCAGGGACAACTGGTTGCGCGACCGAACCGTTGAAAGCAAAAGAGCAGCTCGGCCACTAAGCCATAATGGCGTCATCTGGGCCTGGGGAAGAGACTGGAGTTTGTGACCGCATAGTGCCAGGGAAGTTGCATATATGAGTGGGCGTATTCATTATGTGGACGCGCTCGACCCCTCCACCAAGCAGTCTTGCTGAATAGTCCCCAAGACCCTGGGTGGTTGTGAACTGCGCACCAGTCGAAACTTTCGCGGGTTCCTGGGGGGCCCGGTGGAGTAACGGAGTACGCGCACCCAGGCGGGACCTTGCAGCTCCCTGGGCGGCTGCGAACTTCGCAACTGTCTCCGCTGTCGTGGGCTCCTGGGAAGCACGGCGGGATCGCGGAGTACGCGCACCCTGGCGGGGCCTCGCAGCTCCCTGCGGGACTGCGAATTGCGCAACTGTTGCCACTTTTTCGTGGGCTCCTGGGAGGCACGGCGGAGTCGGGGAGTCTGCGCACCCTGACGGGACCTCGCAGCTCCCTGGGTGGATGCGAACGGACTGCGCCACTGACTCCAGTTTCGCGGGTTCATGGGAGGCACGGCGGAGTAGCGGAGTACGCGCACCCAGACGGGACCTCGCAGCTCCTTGGGCGGGTGCGAATTGCGCAACTGTCGGCGCTGTCGCCGGCCCCTGGCGGGTTCGGTTCAGCGGGGTCGGGGAGTACGAGGATCCAAACGGGACCTCGCTTCCCAAGTGGCCGCCGGGTGCGCAACTGTCGCCATTTTTGTTGACTCCGGGAAAGCACGGTAGAGTCGGGAGTACGCGCTCCCAGACGGGACCTCGCAGCTCTCTGGGTGGGTGGCTACGAACTGCGCAATTGACGCCACTTTCGTGAGTTCCTGGGAAGCACGGCGGAGACCTTGCTGCTCCCTGCTCCTTGGGGACTGCGACCTGCGCAACAGTCGCACATTGTTTTGGTTTCCGGGGGGGCGGCGGAGATGAGAGCAGCGCGGTTCGCGCAGACCTAACGACTACCAGCGACGTCGCGCACCTCGCCGAGCATGTCACGCTGCAAGAACAGCCGAAGGGTTGGCAGATGCATTCTGTACTATACATCATTGGTTGGGTGCTTGTTGAGCGCTCTCCACCAAACTGCGTCGTCGCCCCTTCTCGACTCTGGATCCGCGTCCCGAGTGGCGGCGGATTCCCTGTGCAATATGACAGCTTCTTTATCCGCATCGGCTAGCGGACTCTCAACGGGGACGGATTCTCGCAGGTTGCGCCATCAAGGTCCTCGTGGCCAACGATGGCCAGTCTCCGCAGGCTCAGGGGACAGCAAAAAATGAGGTGCGGCAGTGGAACGAGATGTCGCCAGCAAAACAGCCGGAGACCGCTGCCGGGTGAAAACCTTCACGGGCGCCGTCTTCGTTGGCGTGGGCTTCGCGGGAATGGCCTTCATAGGAATGGCGCGCTGTCCTGCGGGAGAATCCGCGTCAGCGCCCGCTATGCCGGCCTCGCGAACTCGCTGAGCCTTCGCTGGCGGCAGGTCATCGTCTGCCCCCTTTTTCCCCTGGCAAATGAGCAGAGACGGCATGGAAACATCCACCAGAGGGGGGGTTCTGCAAGTGCTTCACCACGCACTGTTTCCTTGCATCGTCGGTACTTCGTGCACGCGGCAACGCATTGCACATGGTGAGGGGCGCCTCGGGCCACCAACTCAGAAGCTGTCGTTGGTAAACATGGAATGCGCCGTGTAGCCAGACGTGCCCGTGTCTGACAATAGATCAGCGCAAAACATCTAGGTTCACCTCGCCGCACATTTCTAGCATTGCTCTCTTGAAATGCTCGCGTCGTGATGGTAACAAGGACATGGAGCAGTTGGGCGCCATGACGGGGGCCGTACCTTTGACGGAGAGTCACCGGCGGCCACCGGCGTTCACATATCGAGCGGTCGGAGCCGCCATGAAACGGGGTGGCTACAATTATTGATGATGATGCTGATGATGATGAGAATGAGAATGATGGTGATGATGGTGACCACGATTCGTATTACGGTTATGATGATGAATGTTGATGCTGTTGTTCATGATGATGATGGTGGTAATGATGATGATGACGATGTTGATGATGATGAGAATTATGAATATGAGTATGCTGATGATGCTGATGATGCTGATGATGGTTATGATGATAGCCCCCCCGCTTGCGCAACCCTGTGGCGTCGAACAAGTGACACGCGCGCTACGCCCTGGAAGCCCTCCCACCGTGCGCCCACGCTCTCTCACGTCGACAAAATACCACGCCTGCGATGGCCTGGACGACCGAGGCGCACAGTGGTTGCGCTCGGGGCCCTGCGCGCCCCCCAGAGGATCGAGAACATGCCACGCATGCTATGCCCTGGACGACTGGCGCGCGTAGCAGCTAAGCAACCGCGCTCAGGGACCCCCCCCCTGCGCACCCATCATGGTGTCGAGGAAATGCCACGCCTGTTATGCCTGGGCGAACAAGGCGCATAGCAACCGCGCTCAAGGACCACCCCGTGCGCACCTATGGTATCGAGAAAATGCCACGCCTGCTGTTTTTGGACGACCGGGGCGCATAGCAGCCGTGCTCATGGGCCACCCCCTGCGCGCCCCCTTATGTTGTCGAGAAAGTGCCACGCGTGCTGTGCTTGGACGACAGGCGCGCATAGCGGTCGCGCTCAGGGACCACCCCCTGCGCGCCCCCTCTGGTGTCGAGAAAGTGCCACGCCTGCCGTGGCCTGGGACGATCTGTCAGTGCTTGCGTTTGTGTATGTGTGCTATGTGTGTGTTAATGTGTCTTTGCGTCCGTGTGCGGCTAATGTTCGCCTGTTCTGTGTATGATGCGTTTTAGGTGTCCGATGCGCATGTGTTGAATGCGTCTGGTGTGCATCATGCACTGAGAACGTCAGGTGTATACCAGCGTTGTAATGTGTGTGCGCGACGTATCTGACTTTGTATGTCTGATGTGCGCGTGCGTGTCTGATGTAGGTGCACATGTCCGATGTCTGTCTGATATGCTGTGTGTGAGAGTGTGTCTGAGGCGTGTGCGCGCGCGTGTACGAGCGAGGAGCAAAAGGGGGTGGGAGGATGAGGAGAAATCGGGGGGTGGAACGCGAGAGGAAAGAAAAACAGACCCCTGGAGAACAAGTGGAGCAAACGGCTATTGACTTGGAAGCCGAGGTTCAGAACGGATGCCAAACGATCCGTCGGCAGGCCGTGTCTGAGGTGGACGGACTCGTTGAACGCGTGAGTCGCCCCCGTTGCCTCTCTCACAATTGTTTTGCTGATCGAACCTGCACGGTCTGCCCCTCAGGGGACCGCTCCAGCTGACGGAGCAGGTATGCAAACTTCCCGTCCCTGCTCCTGTTCCACGAAACATGTGGGGAACAATCCTACCAGCCATCAT